AAAAAAAAAACTGGGACAGGTTTTTCTTTAGGTTTGGTCTAAACCCAAGTAAGGGGCTTTTTCCAGGAAGGGGTGCCGGGGGGAACCTTTTTTACCCGGGTTTTTGAGGGAAAAAAAAACTTTTGGGGCCGAATTTTTTGAGGGCCCTTTCCAAAGGTTGGGGGGGGCCCGGGGGCCCCCCCCCCCCACCTTCAACCCCAAAATTTTTTTTTTTCTTTTGGGCAAAAAAAATTTATATACCGCTTAAAACTTTTCAAAGCCCAAAAAAGGGTTGGAAGCCGTCATTGAAACCGCCAAAAGGGCTTACGGATTTAAAAAGCGTGGAATCCGCTTTCTCTTGCAGGGCAGAAAGTTCCAAAAAACGCCAAAAAACAAAAAAGTTTGGTTTTGAAATTTCCTGTTTCAAAACCCGCAGTGAAAAAAGATGCCCCGGGAAACAACTTTTGCTTGGTGGCCGGCGCTCGCATGAAAAAAAAACGCCAACCCTATTTGCAAAAAACCCTGGGTTTGGGCCAGTTGGGGATTGGGCTGGGGGAAAGCGGCAGGGAAGAGTTGTGGGTTTTGAAGGGGGCAAGTTTTTGAGACGGCCGTCAAGAAAGAACGGGGCTTTCACCAAAAATCGAAAAGCTGGCCCTTCGTTTAAAACCCCCGCCAATGAAGAAAGAAGGGAGTTTTTTTTGAAAAAAAGAAAATTAACTTCAACCAAGCTGGAAAAAAAAAAAAAAAAAAAAACCCATTTTACACCAAAACCAAAACAAAAAGGAAAACCCCGTTGGTTTTAAAAAAGGAAAAGTTTCTGGGGAAAGGGCACCGTTTTTTTTGGCTTGAAGCCTTGCAGGTGGAAAACCTGGCTTTTGTAGTGGAAAAACAGCCCTTAGAAAGAATGGAAAACCGTTTTTGAAAAAGCAGGGCAGTCCAAAAAGAGATTCATGTTTGTGGGTAAAAATGGGGGCGAAAGTCTATTTTTTTTTTTTGCATTTTTGGGCTTAATGCTCTTTGGCCAATCAAAACATTGAGGCAAAAAGCGACATTTGGGCCCTCCACGAAAAGAAAAAAAAACCAAGGTCTTTGCGATGCCATGAAAAAAAAAAACCAGGCAAATGGGGCCGCAAAAAAAAAGGTTTTTCTTTACAAAGGAGTTCCATCTTTTTGAAAGACAAAAAGTTTTGAAAAAGGTTAAGGCAAAACAAAGCGCAAATTCGAAAAAAGCAAAGAGTTGAAAAGGAACCCACCATTTTTTCTTCTTATTTTTTTGAAAACTTTTGCTTAAAAAATTTTAATTGTTTTGAAGGTTTTAAATTTGAAAATGCAAAGATATGGCAATTTTGGTCAACTGGAATTTTCCAGGGCGGATTATTTAGATTTGAACTTTTCCTCTGCAGCAATTGAAAAAAAAAAAGGGTTTTGTAAATTAGTAATTATTTTCCATTTAAAAAAAAAACAAAAATGATTTTTTCATGTTTTAATTAAAGGCATTTGGGAATAAAACGATATAATTACTGAAGGAAAATATTTTTCAATTATTTTTTGGGTTGAATGAATTACTTTCCAATTTCAAAATTTTTCCAGGAAAAAAAGGAAAGTTAATTGTTGAGTGTTTTTATTAAAAATCATTTAATAACTTTTCAAAACAAGTGAATTTTTTTTTAAGATTTGTTTTATTTTGTTAAATGTTTTAAAAGAGCCACCAATTTTTTGAAAAAATGGAAGAAATACTTTGGTAAAAAAGAGTTTGTGCAATTTTTAACCCTTTTACCAATTTCCTTTCACAAGTTGTGGGAGGGATTTTGTGCTATAAAGGGTTTACAAATTCAAAACAATTTTTTAAAAACTTTTTTACAAAAAAGATAAAAATAGATTTGGGGACTTTTGAATTTTATTTCACGGGGGGAGCAAATTTAAAGTCTAAATAAAAAACAGTAAAAAAATTTTTGGTCCCTTTTCTTAGTGGTAAATCAATTTTGTAATTTTATTTCTTTGTTTTCTTAACTGTGCTTTCCACGAACTTTTGTTGGAGTTTTTTTTAAAAAAAAATTTCTAAATAACTTAAGGCGTTTAAAAAATTAATAATGGGATTGGTAACTTTTTTTTGGCTTTCCTTTTTTTAACCAGCTCGCGTTTCAGACTTGGCAGGGACCCACACAGAAACATTTTTTGGTTGACGTTTGGGGACTTTCTTTTTGGCGAACAGCAAAATCAGCCGCCTTTTTTTTTTACAAACCAAATCCTTTCACTTTTTACCCACAAAAAAGGAAAGATTTTGGGAAAGTTCGTGCTTACAGGGGGAAGGTCGGCTTTTTACTTTGGGGACCAAAAGAACCTTTGGAACCCTGAACAACCAAGCATTTTTGATTGTTTTTTTAAACCTGGCGTTGACTCCCGTGAACACCCCCACCTCGCAGTTTGCAGCGACCCCCTTGCCCAAAGGGAAAAAAAAGAACGAGGGGTGAAGAAAAGAAGCATTTTTGCAAGGCCTGGAAAGGAACGTTGTTTGCGTTGGCTGGATTCTTTGTTATTTTCCCCCTTGTCAAAAAAGGCCTTTTACCCAGGTTAAAACCTGGCACGACGGAAAAGTTCAAACCCGTGTTTTTGACTGACTGGGGCAAAAAAGGCCTTGTCGGCCAAGTGGGGGCCCCTTGGAGATAAAAAAAAACCTCTGATGGGCTTTGCTATTTTTGAAATCTGGACCTGAAAGGAATTTACAAAAAATCCCGGTTGGGGAGGATTTGCGTTGGGCCAATTGGACCTGGTTCGCCCACCATTTTTCTCCCTGCCTTGGTTAATAAATGTTTGCTCTTGTTTTTCAGTATTTTGGGGCTGTTCCTTTTTTGGAAAGAAAAGGCCAACAAAAATAAAAAAACCCACGCCTGTTTTTGTTTCCAAAAAAAAAAGCAAAAAACGGTTTTGGACGGTTTTTGAAAACTCTCTTACAATTTTTTTCCTGTTGCTGGGAAAGTTCCCCTGATTGGTTTTGGTGGATACCCTCATTTTTGGGGACCCTTTTTCAAATTCTTAACAATCCGGCCAAAAAAAGGGGCCCTTTCCCCCACTTTGCGGTTTTGGCAACCCCCCTTTTTACGGCCCGGGTGGGGGGAAAACTTTATAAGGGGGGGGGGGGGGGGGGGGCCCTGGGGCCCACCCCTCCCTTTTCCGCAGTTTTTTGTTGTTTTTGCCTGAATCCCTGAATGAGGCTACTTCTGACCTTCATCTAAACCGCCAACAGCGTCCGCACTGGCCGTTTGCACCCCAATACACCGATTAATGTTGCTGGGCACCTCGTGATGTGCGACTATTTACTCATTCCCTTTTCTGCACACCAAGGCCGGCCACCTCCGTCGGTGTGTTACTCAGCTATTCGAACAAGGCGACATTGCTCGGCATCAACAGCGGGTGAAGGATGGAGGCCCAGCGGCGCGGCTTCATCAGCCCCCCGGCCTCCAGGTAGCAATCTCCTGCTGCATTCTTATCTCCTGCCAGCTGCTGGTGGCTGTTATCTGGCTGCTGGTTGGAGGGTGCCAGGGGTTTCGGAAGGAGGTGAGCCCGGAAAGGAGAAACGTGGTCACCCTGAAGTGCAGCAGCAGGGTACACCAGCATGGCTCATGTCCTCTCACCTATC